GGGGTCGGGTTCTGTTTCCTCCCACGACCTTGCCCGACAGGTCCACTGCGATCATGTCGCTTGCTTTAAGAAGGCCGAAATGCACGCCCAGGGCTGTTTGGTGATTAGCTTCATGGTCCTCATCTGTCGAAAAAGGGAAAACTTGTTGAATGGGAACGTACGATTCGTCCAGAAGACTTCGTGGTTCTCCGGATCTCTCACACTGATATGTCCTGATATTCCCTCGACGAAGCCCTCTCGTGCCCAATGCCGGAAAGCCGCGGCCATATGTTCAAGCTGCCACTGGCGTTGGGCGGCGAAGTTGTCGAATTTGGGAACACCAGGCAACATCACGTCGCCGTGCGAGATGGCCGCGAGGGGCGACTTGTCTTGCATGCCGTGTACATGTTCTTCCTTCCCAGGAGTAACGGATTTTGAGGCCAAGGGGCCGGAAGGGAGGATATCGCTGATCGCAGAGGGGGCCATTTTGGTAGAGGGCAGAAGTTGAGGGCTAGGAAACAGAAAATAGACAAACAATGGAAGAGGCAATGATATAGAGAGAGATCTCGACGTCGCTGGGACACGTTTTGAGCGCAGGATAGTCTTGAGAAGTCGGTGTTTGAGACGAGCGGTATTAGATATGAAAGAAGAAGAAGAAGAAGAGAACTTGGTAGGAGATAGTAGTCCAAAGGGCGTGAGGAGCGTGAAGGGCGTCGAGGATCCGATGGCAAAAAGATAGACATCTCATTGGAGCGAACGAGGGGCAACTGGTGGATGTGTGCATGGAGAACTCCGCCGCCCTTCGATTGGGTCTTTCATGACTTGTTGGGCGCCATGCTGAGTTTGAGGATGAGCTTCGATTTACAACATTGGCATTCGGAGAAGAGTGCGGTACTCCGATTGAGCTATCGTAGGTGTCCACTAGGGTGGGACGTTGGTCGAGGGTTGGTTTCAAGACGAGCAGATGAACAAGGCTGCGGAACACGCATTTGTTGCGAGGCTCAGGTGCAGCCTTGCCCAGGCTGACGTCACACAGCCTTGATCGAAAACAACACGGGCCTTTCACACTTGACTTGATTCTCAGCCGCAGTCTCTGTTGCGCCGCACAATCACTACAGCATGGCCTCGTAAGTCGTGCACATGCTCTAAGTTGTGAGACTCTTACTGATAGAGCTTAGGAATCTCCTCGAAATCCCCTTTCGTCGTACGCACTCTGTGGACCTGTCCTCCGCAATCAAGCAATACATATCCACGAAATATGATCAGTCGCCGGAAATGTTCGCAGATGACCTGCGAGACATTGATCGTTTACGCAACGACGCCATCAATGTCCGCGAACCTCATGTCAGCGGTATTAAACGCCTACAGATATATGCTGCTCAGCTACGCTATCTGGGCGGGAAATTCCCCATCGATGTTGGTGTCGATTTCCCGTGGTACCCCGCGATAGGCTACGATCGAGACAAGCCCGTGCTACAAAACAATCTACGGTTCGAGTTGGCGAATATACTTTTCAATCTTGCGGCATTATATTCACAACTGGCGTATGGGACGAACCGAGCGACGATAGATGGCCTCAAATCCGCTGCCGAGTATAGTATTGCTGCCGCCGGCACCTTCGCCTTCATACGGACCGACATCCTCCCTGACATGCGCTCAACCCCACCGGAGGATATGGATGATATAACTTTGGAGAGCCTGCAACAACTGTGTTTGGCACAAGGTCAGGAATCGTTCTGGCAGATAGCAATCAAAAGGACCATGTCGGACGGCACGGTAGCAAAACTTGCAGCCAAGGTCTCGGATTACTACATCTCTGCAGCTGATGCCGCACGCCAGTCCCGGGCTGTGAGCGCGGAATGGATACATCATTTCCAAGCGAAACATCACCACTTTGCTGCTGCCGCGCAGTTTCGACAATCTCGATATTGTCTGCAAACCAAGCAGTATGGAGAAGAGATTGCCAGGCTCAAGGATAGTCTCACCTGCGTGAACGAAGGGCTTCAAGAGGCCCGATACATCAATGCTACAGTAGCCGGGGATTTGAATGGGCTCAAGTCCAAAGTCACTGAGGAGCTGAAGAGAGCTGAAAAGGACAATGATCTGATCTACCTGCAAACACCAACGCCCAAATCAGAGCTGAGACTATTGGATCGAACAAATATGGTCGCTGCAAAAACACCTGCAGATATTGTCAATGGCATTTCTCTCCTCGGCGAAGGCAAACCTTTTGGAAGGCCATTATTCGAAAAGCTTGTTCCCTATGCTGTCCATCAGGCTGCGTCCATATACGCCGATCGGCGCGATCGTCTTGTCAACCAGTCCATCATTGTTGATCTTGAAGCCATGACAGCTAGGCTGAGAGAGATATTGCAATCGCTCGATTTGCCCGGGTCATTACAGGCCCTCGAAAAACCGCTCGGCTTGCCTGGCAGTCTTGTTTCGAAAGCTGAGGAGCTTCGACAGCAGGACGCGCTGTATAGGATCAAGAGGTCGATGGAGGACACAACCAAATTGAAAACGAACGATCTTGCGATCTATCAGGAAGGCGTTGCATTGCTGGAAGCCGAGAAAACCGAGGATGAGCGAGCTCGAGCAAAATACGGCACGGATAGATGGGCACGTCAACCCTCTACCACAGCTTTGGCCAAATTATATCAGACTTCAAAGGAGCTTCAGACATACCTGAACTCGGCCGCTTCGAGTGACAACTTAGTGCAGGCAAAATTTCGGGAGAACGAGCACATCCTCAAGATCTTGACAGGCACGAACCGTGATCTTGAGCGATTTGTCCCCTCGTCCAGTCAAGTTACTATGACACCAGCCATCGAGCAAGCCGCCTCGCGATTACGGACATGCCTAAACGAAGTTTCCCGCTTGGAGACTCGGCGGAAAAATCGCATTGCAGCTTTGAGAGAGAAAGCAAAATCCGACGATATTGGTCCGGCTTTGCTCGCTGAAGCAGCTCGCCTGGAGCGGGAGTATCCCATGCAGAAGATCGAACCAGGACAGTTTGAAAAGCTGTTCGAAGCACGGCTTCAGGCTTATGAGCCTGATCGCGAAGCTCTCATCACTGAACAAGAAGAACAAGACCAAATTGTGGCTCGCCTGCGCGAAGCCAACAAGGCATTCTCGGATGCCCGACGGGGTGACACCAGCACCAAAGACCGTCAGAAGGCTCTCCAGATGCTGGACACAGGATACGCCAAATATAAGGAGCTCATGAGCAACTTGGACACCGGCAGAAAGTTCTACAACGACCTTGCCGTTCATGTGACACGTTTCCGAGACAATTGTAAGGCACAAGTCTCTGAACGCAGGATTGAAGCCAGTCAGCTCGAGGCAGAGCTTGCTGGACAAGATATGGGCAGGCTCAATCTTCAGGAGACGCGGAGGGAATTGCGGAGCCAGAATACAGCACCGCAAACGAGAAGCCGTCCACAGCAACAGCCCCCTGCCGAAACCCAAGAAGCACTGACGGCACCGGTCCCAACAAGGAATCCGCCTCCTGGAGGTGTAATGCCCTCCACTTCGCCTTTACCAGTCGGTGTCGCGGGAGGCACGATTGGTGGTGGAGGAATCTGGACACCGGACATGGGTATCAGATTTGGTGGGGCTCCTAATCAACCTGGACAGGCGGGTTATCCTACCCCAAGACGACCATGAGAATTGCTTGCGGTCCTCCAGACTCAGCTGCCCATATTGGAGAGGAGATCTTTGAAAACATACTGGCTCCCAGAGATGAAGAGGTGGTGTTGACTCATTTGCATTGTGCGACTCCCATCCGGTCTCCTCTATATATAGCGAAACATCCGCGCCGCAGCTGACACCCTGACCTGACAAAACCCTTGACGAAGACCCGAACGCCTCTTCTCCCCATTGCCAATGTGCGAAAGATGCCTCCTGATATCTGGTAATTCACAGTCCCGATGTGCCAATAACAGCGGCCATGCTAGTAGTATGTGGAATCTGAGGACTTTGCAGAGTTCTTTTTGATGTAGTGAACGGCAAGCACCACTCCCAGGGACCCAACACAGACCAGCACTACCATGATCAACAGACATATGCATAATCTGCTCCTTCTCTTGTGAATCGGCCGGTTCACCTGCACGGGATATGGACGGTCGACCACGTGCTGTTGTGCTGGAAGATAGACATATGCGTGGTCTTGACCGTTACCGGCAGCAACAAAAGCACCATTCCCGCTGGGGTCCAGGGCTACAAGGGCTTCTCCGCTGGAACCATAGTAGGCGGGGTTATTGCCTCCTCCTTCTCGAGTTATCAGCCCGATGCTGTCATGCGAAAGTTGAACCACAAACCTGAATAGATTGGCTGATATCGGGCACGGCGCGGAGGACTTAGGATCCCATTTGGCATTGCTTCAACTGTGTTTTCGATTGTTGTGCTCAGAGATGAGAGGGGGCAATCCAAGCGCCGCCTTTGCGGTGCGAAGTCGCAGGATCACCGCAGGTTAATATTGCGGAATGGCAGAGACCCAGCTGAGGCTGAAGGAGATTGCCAACCCGGCGACTCAGTAGTTCTTACACCATGCTTTCCCCGGCTGGTTTTTTTTTCCCTGCATCCTGCATGAAAGTGTAAAAGGTCTCACTGCCTCGTGGCTTCTGATGGTCCTATCATCTCTTGTGACATGGTGCATCGGTGGCTGATTTGGACCTATCAAGGTCGATGTGCCGAGACCGACTTGACCTCAACCGTCGGATTCCAGGGCTGAACGGCGCCCGGGTCTTCCAGCAGCGGTTCGAGTTCGTGTTGACGGGTTCCAAAAGTGCCAGCCTGAGACAAAGGCAGCCAATCGAAGAAACCCATCAAGCTTCCGAAGGCGTCCACTGCCCATCCTGTCAAGATTTGTCACAAAGGCTTCGCCTGCCTGAGCCTGACAACCTCAGAGTCATAAGAGAGGTTTGGGCCACCTCTTTTTGTCTCTTGCTCTGTTAAGACTTGCACGCTTTGTCGATCTGAAGATCCCCGTACCAAGATCCCACTGTCACCAGCCAACCCACATGGCCGATCCAGTCACTCTCGCCATCGGCGGGGTTGGGGTTGCTGTTGCACTAACACAACTCGGTCAGGCTGTATACAAGGGTCGCAAAGATGACAAGCAAAATCGCAGGATGATGCAGATGGTTCAGGTATGCCATTTTCTGGGACCTACCGATTTTGATCTCTTCTATTGACACATGTCAGCAAAATAATGGTTACGGTGGCTCACATTCGAGTGGTCCGGTCACTCAACCTGCCTACCCCCATCCAAATACCCATACGCTTGCAATATCGCATCAAACAATGGGTCGACAGTCCACTTTCACAAGTCCAAATGGCTGGTTTGTGTCCGTTGGGCACGGTCCAGAGGCTCGATCGTCGGGCACTTTCATAACTCAAACTACCTCATACAACAGTGGATTTCCTATCGGTCATGTCAACCAAAACAGTCACATCCCCTCGCAATCCCAAGTCTTCCTACCAGCCCCAGCGGCGGGTATGATGCTTCCCATTGAATATACACAGCCATACACCACGGGAAGAGTCGTGGAACTGCCTCAAACAGGATCACAACGGTTTCTTCCGGACCCGGCGAATCACACACCTCGATATTCTCACGCAGAGCCCACAGTGAAATCGAAGAAGTATCAATGGTGAAGAGCTGGCCAAGGGTGCAGCACGTGAGACCGGTGTTCCATGAAATACCATGTGAAGGCTGCGGACATCAGTTGAAGGATATTTCTGTGAGCAAAGAGCCAGAAGAGAAACGTCATCTCCTTGCAGAGTATAGGTTGCAGGTCGCTTACAGAGGCGTTTGTCCGATTGTATGCACTCTAGATAGACAAGCGAGTAATGGGGCGGTCAGTTTCGAATGGAAACGGAGCTTGTATCTGGGACGTTTCCTTTGAGGCAAAGGGTATCAACTGGTTCTAGACCGCAACCGTGATCTTGTCTAATTTTCCCAAGCCAATGGTACCCTTATACTACTTGGTAAGTACTCATATAGTCGGGAGAATTGCGGTATCCACCGCCCAGGCGCTCATGCGGAATTGCTTCAAGAGGAAGTTGGATTTTGCCACTAATCCCAATGAGGGAAAAAACCTCTCGCCCAATCAGCCTCGTTGTTGCCCCACTTGGTATGGCCCCCAAAACCTTAGTCAACGACGCTTCAGATATTGTCGACCAAGAGCCATCCCATCTCTCCATGCAAACAAGCAAAGGTGGACTCTTGCTTCGTGACCTTGATCTCCCTGCATGTACACATCATCAGCGATGGCTTCACTTCTGAAAAAGGCAACTCTTTAAGATGCGTCAAACTCAACTCCAGCCCGGCCACTGGGAAGACTCGGTCACTTTCCGCGCCCAATCCGGCCCTCCAGAAGAGCGGACGGGAGCCGGATACGACACAAAGGACGACGAACAGGACCAGCAGGACTATCCGGGACAGTCTCGAGATGGACGACAAGACGCATTGACATCCAGAACATCTGGAGCACCGGCTGCTACAACCCCGCGAAAGCTACACGTCGGGCGGGGGAAGGCCCGGATATCTGGGACGAAGAAGGCGGTTCCTCGGAAACAAGAACATCACGAGGCTCTGGCTGTGGTGAAGTACCCTCCTAACCCACCACCGTTGTTGGAGCCCGATGCCGACGAACCGTATTCTCTGCTCCCATCAGCAGTGCCGAATGGCGTGGTCAAACGATACATGCATAGCCGTCAGTAATCCCGAGCCACCCTTGCTTTTTCGAATAGAGATTGGATAGTTTCTTCGATACTGACTAGTACACATATCCAGTCCCCAATGTGCTCGCGAAGCTGGTATCCAATGCCGGCTTGACCGGGAACTATGGAAGGTCCTTTGCGAGTACTATGATGGCCTCGCTATCGCAGCAGCCGGCACAACTGCACGCTATGATGTTCGCGGTGATGGTGCATGACCGTATCCAGCAGGGAATCAGTGAACCAAACACGACGGAGCTACTGGTCGGTACAGAAGCTATTCGACACCTGAATCGTGAAATCAGCGATCCGAACCCCGAACGAGCCCTGTCGGACTCCAACATCTGGGCCGTCCTGGTGCTTGCATATTCGGGTCGCGAGGACAGAATCAGAAGGGGCCAGAGCTACCCGCGACAGTCCTTTTTGAGAGAGCTGCAGTCGATCCATATCTATCTGAAGATGGAGATCGTCATCGAGCATGTGCTTGGCCTCATCAAAATGATGGAGCTCCTCGGGCCTTTGTCCAAGATCAAGACGCACGGGATTGCTACCGTGGTATCTTTGTAAGCCGGCCCCCTTTTCGTGCCCGGTGCGACCCCCCCGACTATCCCAACCCCACATACCCACAATCGCACAGTTTGCCTGAAAAAACTAGGAACGGCCTAGCCGAAGCGTCCCAATTGCTGACTTATCATGCTACCGAACCTATAGATGTGGGATCATGGGCGCATGCCGGAATATTGGGCGGCCCATCTTTCCATTTATATCCCACACAGCCACGTTCGTCCGCGAAGATGGCCGGCTGTCGGTCACGAGCTACGAGCGCGACGCCGTTGCTGGCGACTTGGGCCAGCTGGGCACGAGCTTCCGGCACGTCTGGAGCGCGGGGTCATCCACGCCGAGCTACATCGACGATCTTCTGGCCGTCATTCAGGATATATGCGACTTCACCGTGGTGGTCGAGAACCACGCCAGTGGCAGGTGGGTGCCGCGCACGTCTCCCGTCATCATCGACCAGAGAAACTATGTCCAGCACAGCTTGATGTCCCTGCCCTCCGCGGAGGAACTCCTCGCCCCGAAACCCGCGGACGTCGCGCTGGACGATTCCCAGTACGAAACCTGCCGGTTGGCCTGCATCATTTACTCCTTCCTCGTCGTCTTCCCCGTCCCACCTGTTGTGGGCCCCTTTGAAACCTTGATCGACCGGCTCAAGAGCGCTCTGCAGACGACCGTGTGGAAGAGCTTTGGCCGCCCGCGACGGAAGTTGCATCTGTGGACTCTCATCATGGGGGCCATCGGGTCGATTGGGCTGCCTGACCGGCCGTGGTTCCTGCTCCGGATCATGGAAGTGTTGGACGACGACGACTTTGACATGGCCGGATGGCAGGATCTGAAGGGCTTGTTGCAGTCGTTCCTGTGGCATCCGCGCACGAGCGATCTTGACGGTCTCGATGTTTGGAAGGCCGTTCAGGTGGGAGTCAATGTGCCAGACGAGATATGACATCTTTTGAAATGAGAGCGAGAAGGAAACAGGTCCATCATCCCCACGTAATACAGCTATTGTTTCCGCCTGGGTAGATGGAGTGTCAATGTGAAACGGTTCACATTAAGAGTAAAATGAAGGGGTGATCCCAACCACCACGGAGCACATAATGAACGCCAATTGATGGGTCTGCGATATATGTTTTCAAAAAAAAGCACAGTCAGTCGTGTAGAGCATTTCCATTCTTCCACCGCTCTCCCCTTCTTTTTCCATCTTCCAAGGCGAGGCGGCCAGATCAAGTTCCACCATAGCCCGTGTAATACGATCTGAACGTCTCGGGAAAGTCGGGAAACTCTGAGGTTCCGCCGCCGTCGCAGAAGAAATTCCGTAGTTCAGCCTCTGCCGCGGTTATGGCACTCGTCTGAGGGTACTGGTGCTCGGGTGTCGTCGGGGACGAGGACCAAGTCCTCTCGGCGTCGCGCGAGTTCTTGAGGAGTTCGATGCTGCGGAGGAGCTCCTCGACGCGCGCTTCCAGCTGTTTGATTTCCTTGGCCTGTTGCGAGCAGGCGCGATTCAGAGCCTCGTGCAGTTGTCGGAGTTGGGTCCATTCGGCTTCCAGCGCCTCGACCCTGATCTTCTGCCTCGCGCGGAATGCCTGTTGGGCGATTCGATTTTGTGCCCTTCGACGCTATGGGAAAGAAAGGAGAAGAAGGCATGAGTTTACGGGTAGAGTGACAACATCTCGGGTCGTGTTTCCATACCTCTCGCATCTCTGCTGTCTCGCCCATCTGCATTGCTCCTGGCGGGTTGTCGCTGTCGGAGGATGTGGGTATCCTGCCTTCAGCTCGCGAAGGATCTGAGGGATTCTGCGTGGCAGGCTGGCGGGAAGCGTCTAGACGGGGTGATTCTTGTCAGCATCTCATTCATTCCCGCACGCGAAGCCGGGACGTGAATGTGAATGGAGGTGAAGGGCAACAACTCACTAGGATTCGTTGCGTTGCTCATGACTGCGATGGGACGACTGTGGTTATAGATTTTGCCTGAATCTTTGTCGGGTGTGATCCTCTGTTGTCTTCAAAGCCAATTCCCCGGGTATGGGTCTCGGAGAATAAATAACCTCGCAGGAAGTGTGTTGAGAGTTTCTGTTAGATATGCTCCTAGCGCCCGGTGAAAACTGACAAAGTGGTGCTCGAGTGGTCAGAGGGTTGGGTGACTAAGTATCATGTATAACAGCCGCTGTGAAATTCTGCCACTGTCCCGGAAGGTGAACTAGAAGAGTGAAGAGGCTGCCCACCAGCAGTATGCATTACCGGACCTCCGAGGTACATTTTTAGAGCGATGGTCAATTTTCAAAGGCTTTCAGGGCTGCTACTAGGGCAATAGAATGTGTTTCGCAGAGTCTGTGAGGCTGAAATACTGTATGAAACCAGAGGGGGGGGCGTGGCATAGAGAGGGTGAACCTGTGCGGGAAAGCATTTAGCAGTGGATACTAATTACACAAATATGGAATTATGCCGACTACAGTAAGGCTCCATCACGCTAAAATCCAACTGCCAGAACGGGATAGCCTATCCGGTTAGTCAGCCGCTTGCGCACGTGCCTGGCCTGCGCCTCGGAAATTCTGCTTTTGCTCCAAACACAACCGTCTCTCTTGCCTTCATCACGATCACGATCCTGCACATCGCCTTGTGTCCCATCCCATCTAAAAGTCGTCCGGTCACTGGCTACTAGTATTGCCCCCGTGGGACTTGCGCCGATCCGAGTGCCATTGAAACCAAACTTGCGGAAGCAGCGGTCTCCGCCCAACCACAATGCACGAACCCTGTCTGCCATTTCATTATGCCAGACCAGACCGAGGAAGGCGACCCAGCCACACAAAAGAACCAAGCTGAACCTAGACTGCGATTCGTCACTGCACGGCCCGACTCCAACCAGGCAAGACGCGAGGCTAAAGCCCTGATCCGAGCCCACGCTTCGCGCGCATCGTGGGCCAGGATCAGGCAAGGCAAGCAGTCGAGACAGGAGACCGGTTCTCTGCTCGGCCCAAACCCAGCTCCGGGCGCGAAGCAAACCCATCCAGTCAACACCGACCCAGCATCGCTTATAGACGACGAACAGGACCAGGACCTCAATCCAGGGCGTGCTGGCCCCTCGGGCGGCCAACTAGTTGTCCCAACTAGAAGGCAGACGATCTTCACCTCGTGTCCTATTCCCGACCCTCTTTGCACGGTAGGGTTGGGCGACATTGATCCGTTTTCAAGCTACCCATCGAAGCTGCCCAAAGAGATAGCTACGCCTATTATTAGCCAAGGTAAGCCAACGCATCTATACCCCCCACCATCTTGTGCGCAGCATCGAACATGCAATCCAAAGACCGACAAAAGGCTTTGATCTAATTTTGCATGCTGTTGACAGTTAACCACTACTTCAACATCATGTTTCTCCCGGAACC